TGGTCATATAAAACATCGTTCTTCTGATGACTTGATTTGCATAGTAGATGCATTAGATTTGACCAATGTTAATAAAGGTAGATATATACCTAAAAAAACTTTGTTAGAAAGTATTAGAAATTACATTTCTTTATTAGATTAATTGAATGAGAATTTGACTCTTAACAGCACACAATTGAGAAAAAGGATTCATATTGCCGACCTCACGTACTGGGATAAAAACTTGATGATGATGATGATGATGATGATGATAGATATATCATCATCATCATCATCATAATTAAATAAAAAAGTAGGAAAATCACAATGATTATAATTAATTTGTCATAAATAACCACACAAATTGAGTGTATTACTTAAATAACATCTACAGAGATTACTTAAAAAATTAGAATATTATATCAACTAGAAAATAGTAGATAATATCATATTTATCCCTTAAGCAAGCCAAAAATATTTATATCCCCAAATACTCCAAAGAACTACTCTTTTAGTCTTTTTGGATTTAGACTTCCAGTCTTTATCCAATCTTACCTAAAACTTTGACTATTATCAGCAAAAATATATAAAAAAATGTTCATATGGCCAATGATGATGAGCTACAACCTCCTACCTACAGAACTCCTTTTTTCAGTTCTTTCAATCAATAATAATATCCAATGAGATATTGTGATCTTTCTTCATAAGATTCACGTAAAGCTTTGATGTTTCAGCATGTTTGTCTTTTCTAACTATTATAATACTCATTACTTATTTAAATACAACAAGTTACCATCACGGAATCTCTTGCTGCAAAATAGAAGATAATACAAGAACAATCACATTAAATCTTTATTGCACTATTTTGAGTCAACTACATTAATTTTTTTTCTCTGTTACGCCCCTATCAAGAGTCAAATTCTCATTTAAATCGAATAAGAAAAGTTCTATCTAATACTTTCCAATCAAGTCTTTTTAGGTCTACCTCTATTTTTTTAACATAGGTCGTATCTAATACATCCATACACTCTTTTAATATGGTCATCAAAAAGCTGAAGTTTTGTCCGATCAAACTATCTAAGGCGACTCTCTATAATCTTATTTATCACTGGAGCAACTCCAACATCCTTTTTAGTATGAAAATTTTACCGTTTTTTATGTTCTGATGATTTAAAAACTATAATAACCTAAATCTATTGATCAGGAAATCTTTCCAAATCTAGAGTAGCATTGATTTGGAAGGCTTTGGTGGGTCAATATGTAATTGATTAGGGAGTTGATTATTTCTCTAATTAAGTTGATTTGATTGTAGATTTGATTGATACATTAATAAGGGGATCTGATTATTGCATAAATTGAGAGATTTAATTAATAAGATTGAGAGATCTAATTGGCATAAATAGATTTTTCCATATTATAACATTAATTAAAGTTCTCTTTTGTAGCTTTGTTTCAAATCTTTAAATAGGACTTGAGAGTTATTGTATTGTATGCATAAGAGAGAGCTAAAGAGTTTATTGTAATCCCTATTTTCTTCATTATGATAAAACTATCATCCTCTCTCCGTGGATGTAGGCATCTTCGCTAAACCATGTAAATCGTCATGTTCTTTGTTTGTGTTGTGTGATTTCTGTTATTTTTGTTGTCTATTGCACAACAATTGATATCAGAGCCAAGCTTTGACAATTTATAGCGATGGCTTGAATAATGAGAGATCAATTAATTCTTTTTGTTCTTGTTATTCATCTAGGCAAAGCAAGAGAGCCAGATTGGTATAATTCCGACTACGTGAGATGACTGCAATTTGGTGGAGGCTATGAGATCCGATGGATTCATGGATACATCCACCTTGATGGTGGAAAAGGCGGTGATCCATTAGGTGATTACACATCCCGTTAAAATTAATGTGATAAAATTTGATGGTAAATGGAACTATGACATGTGATAATGCGAGGTGATGGATGCGATGTATTCTTTGCATCTGAATGATATTTTGAAAGCTATAAGTTGTTCATCCTTTGGAGTTATTTTGATTTGATTATAATCAAATGATCTATTATAAAGACAAATATGCTGTGGAATGAGATAATGTCAACCATCAACTTAAAAATCATGAGTGAGAATTTTTCCTTTAGACATGTCTTTTTAAGGTCACAAATTTACTTACAAACACGAATTTGATCATTCTTCTTTTATGCAGGGATAACCCCAGTTAATCCATCTTGTACAATATCCTTTTCATGGTGATTTCCCTCAATCGACCATAACCTAACGGTTGATAAACTTATCTTTGATCTATCAAATTGTAAGGTTGAACTCAAACTCTATAGTTCATTTGGATGATCTGACTCCTTATTTATCTAACTTACACCTCCTGCTATATTGGAACTATGGCTCAGCCACCGCCTTGGACTTCCGCTTTGCGCTCTGCTTCGATTCGACCATCTTGCCGGACCACCCGCAGCTCACCAAGCTCAGCTCAGTCTGGCCTCAAAAGTCGAGAGCTTTGCAACAGTATTGTCTGCCTCTCACTCGTCGAGAAGCCTTACCAAACTCATCTCAGCTCGTCGAGCTTACCTTGTCAAGAACTCACCTTGCTGAAATCGTCGAACTCACCTAGACTAGAGTACATACAGCTTGTCACTGGCCTTCAATCAAAGTCTAGCCAAACTGATTGAATTCTTCCCACTTATTCATAATTCTGCCAACAAAAGCTTCTCTTTTAGTGCGATCTTAAGCCATGAACTAATCATGTAGGGTGTCAATTTTTGACATGACCCGAAATTCGATCCGGACATGACCCGAAAAAATTCGGATTCAGATTGACCCGGTTAGCAAGTGGGTCGGGTTTGGGTTTGGAGATTTTTGACCCATTTCAAAAAAACTGGTCGGATTTGGGTTGACCTGGAAGCCTGAAATCAACCCGATAATGACTCGAAAGTCGGAGTCCATTCCGGATTTCCGCTCGCACTCGGCGACCGTCTTCACTCTCGGACTCCGACTACTACCACTACGCAGCCAACTTTAAATAGGAACTGGAAGTAGCGATGGGAGCTCAACTCGCGCTTCTTCAACCAAATTTCCAAAATCCAGGTCAGGTCGTGTCACCCGCATGGGTCAGATCTGGGTTGAAATATCCGACCCGTTTAAAAAAAGGGTCGGGGGTTGACCCGTATAGATCCGGGTCAACTCTGAATCAACCCGAACCCAATCCGTCAACCCGAATTGACACCCCTACAATCATGAAAGTTTCTTATCATATAGATCACTAATAAGGCACAAACCGAATAGGGAAAAAAATTATATCTCCACTATGCCCAATCAGTTATGTTCATAAGTGAAAATTGGAATATATAAAAATTTTTCTCACAGATGCAACCATTCTTCTCCAAAAAGAAGCTTCTAAATTCAGACATGGTGATATAAAAAAATAATATAAAATTTTTGAAGCCACCTACCTACCTCCACACTTTCATTATTCAATCAAAAGCAAATGAAAATGCTAAAAAAGGTGCGCAGGCAACTCCAAACCAACCTACCACCAACCACATCCGACATCAACATCGTATCAACTGCTAAAAATGGTATGGTCAAAAATATCTTCAATTCAAATATTACTAAAAACAAATCATGCAACACTAATCAATTGTTAGTGCTTTGTTAGTGATTTGTAGAGATGGTTAACCAACTAGCTAACCGCCAATCCCCATTCATATCAGGGCTCGCCCAAACACACTTGCGTTTGTCTACTCAGCATAACTGGACATGTCGAAGCCTTCTGACCTCGCTCTCCTTTAGTTAATCAAGAGGTTACACATGTCTAACACAGTGCATAGCATATATGGGTATTCTGTGAAGCCTTATAATTTTTTTGATTGGGTTATATTATGATACTTTAATGTCTACAAAATACTTATAAACACAAAGGTACACATACTTATGAAACCTAAAATAGGAGATTAAAAATAAGAACCATTGGCAACCTTTGTAACATTTTTCAGAACCAAGAGCAATTGAATATTTTACAGGAATAATCACACATGAAAAGCTTTCAATTTTTTTTTAGAATCAACTTTCCAATATTGCCACTTACATGGACTATAAAGTAGGTCATGAATCTGGAATCTATATATGACTTAGGAGATTATATGACAGTTCGATTGTATTCGCCTACTCTTAGATTATACTCCCTTACATGAAAATCTCATAACCAAAATTGTTGATGGATCTCTATCTCTCATTGTTAGCTTGGGAACCGGCCATTAGAATCAATTCTAGCTCCTATATTCTATTTTGCATGTTCTAAATCTTCTTTATTGAAATTTCATAAAAGTTTGCAAAATATCTAAAGATTGCAATTGAATCAAACCTAAATATTATGAATTTTAGGCCCAAAGATTCGAAGGCTATACTGCTTTTATGAGAAATGCAAAGAGATTAAACATTCCCTTACAATCAACTTGGAATCTCTCCTCTTATCAAGAAAAAGATCAAACAATTTATGATATTATAGGTTGAGCAATTTAATCTTTTTAATCTAAAAAAATATTTTTCCTTCTTTACTTTAATAATAAGATAATTTTTTAATGTGAATATGATCATCAACTTAGCCAAACATGAAAGAGTCATCTTTAAGTCTAAGTCATATAAAGTTATCAAGCCTTTTTCATTTGTGCATAGTGATATTTAATTCGGGGCCCTCCAAATCTCAAAATATTTACTTCTATTATCATTTAATTACTTTTAGTAAGGATCATACCGATGTTTATTGACTATATTTATTAAAAGATAAATCAGATGTTGAATAGATATTTCAAAACTTCCCCAATATGATTAAACCACAATAATTACCATGATGTCAATATAAGAACATTACATGATGGTACATCACTAGCTTGATGTGATCATCAATATAAGAAACATTACATGACACATTTAACTCAACATGCCAATCCTAATACCACACATTATATTCACAATCCCTTTCTAATTAGACATATTTCAAACTAGTTAGCCACACCTACCTAACAACCAAAACAAACCAAACTATGCCAAACTACATATAAACTAATTTTTTCACATTGGTGGGATAGGCTTCTTCCAAAAGACTAGAACTATAAGCCTTTTGTGCTATCCTCAAATTCACAGCATCGGTAGGGTGAAGGCCATCAAAGAATACATGGCTTGTTCGATTACTGCATGTTGTTCCTCCTCTCTTGCACAGTATACCCTCTCCTTTATCTGCTGAGAGCTCACAGCAACCTCGACTTGCATCAGAAAATCCTACAAAAAAATGATTTAAGGCTTTCTTTGCTAATCTTTGGTTATTGCGTTTTGATGTAAAATGTTAAATCCATTAATACCATGAGCGTGAGGATTGTCTATGATGGATCTTATAATATTATAGGAGTTGACGAAGATAAGATTGGAGCCAGGCATTTTGTGCTTCAAGCTGAGAGCTTTTGATTTAAGAAGCTTGTTGAATAGAAGAGCTGCTTCATTCAGGGCCTCGATGCAGCTTCCATTGCTTATTTGTAGGTTTGCTCTTGCAACTGGTATGCAACCAATTGGTTGGATAGAGAAGAGAACAAATTTTCTAGCTCCATGTCTGTAGAGTTTCTGCAATAACAAAGTTGTTAGATGCATAAAATATGTTAGCAATCAAGTTTGGCAATGCCATTATGATCTTTAGTTTGGTTATTGTTAAATCAGTCTTTAGATGTGAATTCAAAAAATATGGTAGTAGATTATTCCATTTTTTTTTTGTAAAATAAGAATTGTTTGGAAGGTGAAGTGACATTCCTTCTTTCCCTTAAACTTTTGGTTGAATTCTGATTCTTAGGCTTTCTTACTGCTTCCTAAAGTACAAAAAGTTCAAGGGAAGCAGTAAGAAAGCCGTCCCAAACGAAGCCTAAATTTACATCCAAATGTTCTTTTTAAAAGGTAACTTGGCTGGTACAAGCCACCAAAAAGAAACTCTGTATTCTTCTCTTTGGGCAAGATCATGTACATGCTAGAGTGAATAACTATATTTTCCTTTCAATGGACAAAGAGTTGATCAGAAACTGATGTAATGCATGCAAGTTATAGAATTGATGCATAGATAGGGCAAATACCTTGAGCTGTCGTGTCAATTTCGACACGAGAACCTCTGTAAACTGTGAGAGTGAAGGTTTTTGCTTCTTAGCGGGTGCAAAATAGTTCAGCAAGTAATCATTTCCACCTGTTCCAACAACAAACAAGTAGTCTGATAGGTATTCATTAGAAAATCTGCCTTTGCATCTTCCTCTGGTCTGAGCCTCAAAATCTGGTAGAGTTCTATTTTTAAAGTTCCTTATTTGCTGGCTTAAACTGACCACTTCACCCTGCAATCAAAAGAAACCTCTTTACATTCTATTTAATACATACAAGTTCACATACTACCTCTCCCTGTAGTCAAGAGAAAATTTGACAGAGATGATACTATAGACGCTCCTAAATTTGCAGAAGTACTCCAAAGAAGTAGAGGTAGAGGCAAAAAGAATATCTACTTCAGATCTCCTACTCAAAAAATTTAGAGCTTTTGAATGCTACAATTTTGAGAACTTCAATGGTGAATATTTAGATTTTGAAGCTTTTTAGAGCTAAAAAATAACCATTTTCCAGTAATAGTAATTTCAGCTGCTGCCAAAAAAAAAAAATTATTTACAGTTTTGAGCTTGTGATTATATATGAGCCATGATAATGCGACTAAATTTTTTATCATATTTTTTTTATAAAATTGCAGCTAAAATTTCTGTGAGGCTAGCAACAATCAAATTTATGAAATAAAAAGGTAATAACATTGAAAATTTTGCTAAAAAATAGTATTTATTTAGACTTTAAATAATATATTCATATGTAACTTTGTTTTTTTAAAGAACGAGGAGGATCCTTCACTGCTAAGGCCTTCTCCAACCCAACTCCAAACGAATGAATGGCATCGCTCGCGAGCTACAGCCAAACAACAAAACTTCATCTGGTTGCGGGTAAACAGTGTGACTTCAATATTGTCATTGCACTGTTCACCTGTGTTATTTTTCTGTCTCTACTGGATTTGCCGAATAAACGCACGAAAGAGGAGAAAGATGATTATCTTCTGCAAAGGGCGCAAAATGGAGTTCGATTGGAGATGAATCACACAATTTTTTAGTTTCACTGCATTTTGGAGTTAAAAATAAGATTTTGGTTGCAGATGCCCTGAGCCCACAACTAATCTTGCAGCATTTGCGGTCACTGTAAAAAAAGCTAGATGTATATTGCAGGCATTGTTTGACAGAGCAGAGCTTATATATGAATTTACATTTTTTCAAACATAAATTTATAAAATTTACTACATGATCAGCTGCAAATTTTATATAAGCAAATAGTGAATTTTTTTATAAATTTTTTCATCTAAACAACCCCACCATTTTTATATTTTTTCCACCTTTCTTCCTATACAACAAAACGTATAAAAAACAGAAGCAAACAAAACATTAGAATTGAACAGTTTAATTAATGCAGAGATCAAATAAGCCAAAGAACTTACTGCCAATTCTCCGGTTTCATCAAGTATTCCCGACCCCCCTGATGCATAGTTGACTCCATTAACAATCCTTCTCCCACGGGTCTTCGGGTCAGCAAAAGGTGGAATATAGCAGGGAAGACTGAGAAGCTCACCAAGCACATCAATGGCGTTTCTTCCATTGGAGAATCTACCCGAAGGACCAAGAGGGAAATCTATGCCATAAGGAGAGTAATCTGCCTTCGCGCTTGAGTTCTTCAAGAAGTTGTTGTTGCCATTATCGACTAAAGAGCTGCCAAACACGAACATCCCTTTTATTTCTTGACTTTTGGCTTCTGTTTGTACAGAGTTGGTGGGAGAGAAGATGAGGAAGAATACAAGCTTGAAGGTGAGGGCTTTAAGCTCCATTGGAGAAGAACTAGGAGGAAAGTGTTGGGATATGTTGAGAACATAGACTGATTGTTGTCATGTATTTGTAGATGAGAAGAGGAAGGAGGAAGCTTAATTACTATGGCTTATGTAATAAGAGCATTAGATGAGCTATAAGCACGTAGCACGTAGGAACACGTTAAGTTTTATACTATATTTGTTTATAGTAATAAATTGTTGCATGCTGGGGAGTGGTCTTTAATAGGTCTACCTTCTAATAAAACAAAAAAAAATATTAAGAAAAAAAAATTAATTCTGTATTGACTTAATAGGCTGCAAAGATTTTGGCTGATCAATGAATATGTGATTTAACTTCGTTTAAGAAAAATAAATGATTTTATTGTTATATTTAGACTTCATTTCTAATTCTTAAAGTAACTTTTTAGTAGAAAAAAATAATTTTTTTTGCTAAAAAATTACTTTAAGAAGCACTAAGAAAACAATCCCAAACGAGCCTTAGACTTCGTTTGAAACAGCTTTTTTATTGCATCCTTAAACAAAGTTTTAGTATAAAAATTTTACTAAGTCTTAGGTTTTGTTTAAGACGGCTTTTTTAATGCTTCTTAAAGTTACTTTATAGTATAAAATTTTTAAATTTTTTTTGAAAAAATTATTTTAAGAAGTAGGAAGAAAGACGCCCCAAACAAAGGTTTTCTGTCGGTTTGAAATGATGGATGGTTAAGCAATAAAAGTAGTGTTGTTGGGGATTTGAATGCAGTGGTCAAATCTATGTTGATGCTTGAAGATTAGTGTCAATAAGATAATCGATGGTGGTCAGAAACTGTAGTTACACTGATGAAGTTGATGTATCAATTGTTGCGGGTATTTTGGTTGCATGGGATTATGGATTTCTTGCACAAATTAAGGTATTTCTCAAAGCAACCCATTTCATTAAAAAAATGGGATATTTAATTCAACTTATTGTATTTATAGGTGAAATGCCTAGTAGTAATTAGAGAGATTTACATTCTTAGCACTCAAAATTATTCAATTTATATATTTTACATCTAAATTTTACAATTTATTATTTAAATATATATAGAGCAACAAAAATATCAAAATAAACTTAAAAATAACACCTTCCATATTAAAAGGGTTAAACTTCGTATGACGCGGTTTTCTTTTTGCTTCTTAAAACAACTTTCTATCTTAAAAACTAAAAGTTTTATAGTAGAAAGCTGCTTTAAGAGGCAATAAGAAAGTCATTCCAAACGAAACCTTAGTCACTCGAGGAGCTACAATACCTAGAGGCTGGGAGCACCATTATCTCCTACTTATGAGATACGACTCGCTTGCTCATAAACTTCGAACTGGCCCATCAATCACGTTCCCCACGTTCGTAAAAGCTCCTTTCTACTATGTCGATGTGCTTGCATTCGACCTTGCTCCAATAATATTAAATAATATCATTAACAGATTGCTAGATTATATAAATAACAAAACTCATAAGTGAAATGTATAAATCACATAATTTTACATAATATGTATGTAAATATTCCTTCTCATTAACATAATATTTAATTTTTGAGCGAAATATTGAAGAGTGTAGGAGAAGTCGGTCATATTTTTTTATCTAAACTCAGAGAACAATAAACGAACAAAATCTGAAAATCCTATTCAAAATAAAGAGTAATTATTCTGTGCGGATGCCGAACTCCGTCTATAGTCCAATAAAAATGCATCACATCACTCGGCATTATCGGTACTGTAGCTTAGTACTGCTCGGTATTGAATGATGTGACGCATTTTTATTGGACTCGAAAGTCCGGTCTCCGAGCATAATAATTTTTCCAAATTAAATGCGTTTAATCACCACTTAAATCTGGATGATTTCCTTCGACAGAGAGAGATCGAAGTACTTACGTCCGCATCTTCTGGTCCATATAATCATTTATTTTTCTTTTTAAATTTTTCGACGTGCAGCTGAAGGCATTAATGGATGGTAGATAGAATAATTTATGAATCCAAGTTAAATTCGGTGGTTGAGTTACTGCATTAAACGCCAGTTATTATGATTCAAACGATGAAGCTGCGTACTGAGAACTGACAAATTCAGAAGAACTATGGGAAGTACTAAGAGGCAGCAGTGGTTATATACCTAAGATGAATATATGTAGAGAGAGAAAGAATAACAAGGATGATTGGGAGAAAAATACAAAAAGAATACATATTATTAAGTGTGGAGTTTGAATCTATGGTATTGTTCAGTTTTATTATTGTGAATATATAGTAGAAGCATAATTATTGTTCATCAATTTACTTTTATTATTTACCATTATACTTTTATTATTCACAGTCACAAAATCGAACGATCGTTCTATATATTTAGACTCCACACCTAATAATCTGTGTTTGGACTCCACACTTTAGTGGGGTTGTTCAGTTCATCAAATCTGGCTTTTTTTGGGGGGCAGTTTAGGGATTGAACGGGAGCCGATGGGAGACATTTTCTACGCTCAACCACTGAGCTGCCCTGCACGTCCCAGAGCTTATGTTTCATTTAGGATGATTTTTTATTAATATTAAAACAGTTTTTTAATATAAAATCTATTTATTTAAATTAAAATTTATTTTAAAAATAATAATAAAAAAAATTTATCCCAAAGAAAATCTTAGATAGAAGAGGAAGAGTAAAATAATGAGCAAATAGTTGTAAAGCTATCAACGTTTCTTCCAAACGTCCCACCATTCCTCTACGCCAAATGTGGTGTAGAAGCAGTAAATGAAAAGAAAAGTCTTTTGCAGCAGGATTTTGATGGGCCATCTGGTTAATATGATCCAACATTTGAGGCAAGTTAGGTTCGAGCAAGAAGCTACTTTTTTTGTTATTTTGAGGACTTTTGAGTCTATGTAAATTTTGAATTTAAGACTTTTGGTTGGAGAAATTATTTTGTGTTGACTCTGGTGGCGTCCGGAGACCAACCAGAACAGCCAGGTCATCCGATATCGAGCAAAAAAGTGACGTGGCGTGTTCTGGTTGGTGTCCGGACGCCACCCGGTGTCCGCACATAATAATTTTTTTATTTTTCTTTTGATTGATAGTGCTCCCAATCAACAGATCAAGATGAACTGTGTGACAAAACAATAGCAATTTTATCTTACCTCAAAGCGGGAGATACAGCTTGCTTCAGTTAAAATATACTCTGGATCATTTTAATTGTGTAGTAAAAATGCATATATACATGACGTAAAATATATTGATAGGAATTTGTGATGAGATATTTGGTTGGGAAAATAAAATATTTGATAGCTATTGCATATGTTTGATTGTTTTGTTAGAGAGAGAGAGAGAGAAGTGAAAGAGATGGTGCAGGATAATGATATTCACTTGTTTATTTTAAGATATGAATCCTAATGTATATTTAATTTTAAAAGTTTCGAATTAAATTTAGAATTATTTGAACTCTAAATTCAATAAACCTATAGTTGAACATGATAGAAAATTTGATGTGGTAGGATTTGTTTGGGATGGTTACTATATTTTATAAAGATAGTTGTGGAGTTATTGTAAGGAAAAGTAAAATTTTTAGAAATTTTTGTAAATATTATAAACATGATGTTTTAAAAAGAAAACATCAAACATCTGATTTCTTAAAGCTACCACACATTAACAGTTCTAGTTATAAAAAACAACTTTTTACTATAGAATCAAGTGATCTTAGATTCATTGGATTCATCTCCTCCAGTCACTCGTTTTGACAGTAAGTATGTAAAATTTGTAGATCGTTTAATTCTCTGATTAATATCTTAAAATTTTTAAATATTTTTGAAGTGTTTGATTTAGGCTCATTTGGACTTAGATTGATATATCAACTTTGATACCATTGGGTTTATTCTTGTAATAATGCTTAATTTGACTATAAATTTGTTGAAGTTGATCTTTGAATGATTTTGAATTTGAGATTTAAAGTTTTCAAATATTGCATCAAGATTTGGATAATCAAGATGAACCAATAGTGGTTTAATCCGAGTTTGAATATTGAGCCCAAATCAATCTTTTGAATCATAATTGAAAATTTCAAGACATTCATTTGATAAGCAAATGATTTTCAAATCTTGCATACTCAATCAAATCAAACATTTCAACAACATAAATCAAATTAATTCAAGATCATTTAATTATAATATCATTAAAGTACTAAAATGTAGAGTGAATGGTCTATGAGTGAAAAATAAAAAATGATTGTTCAATAAAATATTCCAATTTATAAATAGGGTCACCAATTCATTTCATCAAAATAGTGCTTTAGATACTTGACTTGAAGCTTAAAGACATAATATTTTCATATGTTTTAGAGTTAGTGCATCAATAATTTAATTCATAAATATTTTCAAAATACTAATTTAAAATTTTAAAATTAAATTATATATATATATATCAAATACATTTTTGCACAATCACATTTAAAAAAAAAAAAAAGTTGAGAGCATGAAAAATAAATATGCCAATATGTATCCTTATAGCAACTTTAGCATGATGGTGCTATTTATATGTCTTTTATGAATTAATTAATCAAATTTGAGGTGGCTTTGTGTTGACTTTTGGGAGGCAAAGTCAACTCTCCTTAAAAAAGTTAGACAAAAAATTTTTATATTAGGATAGTTATCATTTAACTTTTTTGAAATATAACATATAGCCTCTTAAAATAACTAAAATATAAAACAATTTCTATTTTATTTTTTATTCAATTTTTTGCTGATTTAGTATTAAAATTATTTTTTAGCTTTGAAAAAATATGATTGGAAGTGATATTAAACATTTCATTAAAAAATTAATTATCAAACTAAATAAGAAAGTTCATCAACAAATTAAATAAAATGAAATAACTCAAAACTAACTCAATAAAACAATAACAAAAAAAAAATTAAATTAAATGAAATTTAGTAGATAAAAAAATAAATATACCACTTTACATTGCAAATTAATAAAAAATGTTAAATTTTTTATTAGTCCTTAATGATTCCAATATGATCATTTTAGTACTAAAGTATAATATTGCTTCAATTTAATTTTTCGACTATACAATTTTATTAAGTAAAAAAAATTAAATTTGAATCAATGTTATATCACAATAACAATATATATTATTTTGAATTAAATTTATATAGTCAAACGATTTAATTAGGGCAACATCATTAATAATTTGGGAACTATTTTGAGATATGATGTAATCTATAGGTCCTTTGAAAGTCAAATATATTATTTTGAGTAATGATTATATATATTTCCCTTCTTAAATTCAGCATTAATGTCCAGCTGAATTTTTTGGTGCCTATTTATTTTTGCATTTATTCTCTTATTGGTACTGCAAAACTAAAGCCGATTATTTCATAGAAACATAGACTAGCATTGGAATTATTTATTTCAAAATTTATTAAATTAAAGAAAAGATTTGTTTGACATGATTGCAGTTGTGTTTGTAAGATTTTTTTTTTTTTTAAAATATATTATGAATATTATAATTTTTATTTTAAATATTATTTTTTCTTATAATTACCACACTCAGATTATATAAAGTTTTTTTTTTCCCTTATAATTTTTTTGACAAAAATAACATGAAAATTTTAAGTAAATAAGATTATAACCGTTGGAATATGATGGTTATTTAGAAAAAAAAAAATATTTAAGATTATTTAATTCATATTGAAATAAATAAAATATAAATTATTAGGGGTGTCAATTCGGGTCAACGGATCGGGCTCGGGTCGAACCCGGAACTGACCCGACACTATTCAGGTCAATCCGAACCCGACCCGATTTTAAAAGTGGGTCAGGTTTTCGCACCCGAACCCAACCCGGCACGAATGACCCGGGGTTGACCCAAATTGCTAGTTTTCGGGTAAAAAATGGGGTCAATCTTCGATTTTCGGGTAAAAAACGGGTCAATCTCGGATTTTCGGGTCAAATACGAGTTTTCATGTCAATTTCGAGTCATTTTCGGGTTAATTTCGTAAACCCGACCTGATTTTAAAACGAGTTGATTTGTTGAGTCCGAACCCGACCCATTTTGGGTCAGGATTGATCCGAATCCGAATTTTTTCGGGTCGTGTCAAAAATTGACGCCCCATGTAAATTATATATGTATCACTATTTTTAAAATAAATTTAATAATTTTAATTTGTTTAATATAACTTTATATCAAAAGATATTCATACAACCATATTTATGATTATTTTGTCCATTTAAAAAATAATAATAAACTATGCCATGCCCATAATTGTTTTTAATAATGATAGCAACACTTTCTTGGAGTCATAATTACAATATCTACCCCAATGCCGTACAATATTTGTTTCCACGTGCGATTGAAGAAGATCTTTGCTGCACCGTGCTGTCTGGGGAAGCTAAGGGTTGCCCACCTGGAAGGACCACCCAATGGATACTTTCGTGTCTGAAGCACCTGTTTATGTTACCTTAACTCAACCGTGTCAGAATATTTTTACATTTATTAAAATTTTATTGGTTCAATTTTCAAAATTCAGATTAATATTTTATTTTGATTTTTTTTTTCATACAATAAAAAATAAAGGATTTATATCACATTTATAGTCAGTTCTAACGGTAAGAAAAAAGATTTATTTTGATATTTAATATCTCAAGATCAATTTAATATGCACAATATATTCAAGTAATAATTTTTTTTTAAATCCTTTAATATATATTTCAAAATTATTTTTTTCGTACTCTAATATCTCATTCAATCATCCTGTTAAAATCTTTGGTTGATTAATATCTATAGACATCATGAAAAATTAAATTATAAATCAATAAAATGTATCCTTTTAGGATAAGACTTCAATATAAGAAGAGACAGAGATATTTAGAGAGATATTTAGAGAGATATTTAGAGGGCATGCGACTTGAGCCAGCTCATGATCCGGCTCAAACTCAACTTGATAAATGGCTTATGAGCTCAGCTCAACAAGCTAACAAGTCAAGTTTGAGCGAGTTTTGACTCGACTCATTAATTCCTAAGTTGACTTATGTTAGATCGGTCCAATAGACCGGTCCAGCCGGTCAGACGCGAACAAGGCAGAAAATTTCCGCCCGCTGGGATGCCGAGTGAGCCGCACACCGTGCGGGAGCCAAATAGGAAAGAAATTTGGGGGAATTAAGAGGGAATTATTATTATTATTATTATTTTATTAAATTGTCTTGAATTTGGCTGAAATTTGAGATCCATTAGATTAGGTTTTTTTGGGCTCTAGCAGCGTCTAGAGATTTGGGAGAGATCGATCTTCCTCTCAAATTGAGGACCAATTGTGCCTTGCTATTTTCCGTTTTCCTTTCATCAAATAATACAAATTATCTACTGCTTTCATGATTTTTGCAAACTTTTGTGAAGAATTCTCATTTTTTCCAAAGATTGATAGGAAAATATTTGAGATCTACAAGTGTTTCCTATCAACTTATTTAAAAAATATGAATATAAAAGATATATATATATATATATTATTATTATTTTTTATAATTTATATAATATATATATATAAATATATATATATATATATAAATATGTCATTATTTTTTTCTTTTACATAATTACCGTGATGTTCATATAGAGTCATTCTTTCTCTCTTTCAAAATAACGAGTCCGGCTCGTGCCGGCTTCTGAACACATAAGAATAAAACTCAATAATTCAATTATAACTAAGCTCAGTTCAGTTTAGGTAGGCACTAGCTCGACTCACTCGACTCATTTACAACCCTATACATATTTAATCATATTATAACATAAAGAAAATATTAAAAATAAAAAAATCATCTTATGAAAATGAGTGTTGGGTATTATCTACAAATGGCAATTATGACTCAATTATGACTCACAAAAAATGTCTCAATTGTATCCAAACTCTCAAAGAAGAACATAATGACTCTAATATGTCCATTGTCCAATGCATTCATTAAATTACACATAGAATATTGAGGAACACAAAAACTTTGCCCTATAAAGGGACTATTTTTTCAAGAAAAATACTATACAAAACAGTGAAAACCTAATTACAAATACCCTTGCAAAAGAATTATTCAAATCTATTTTTGAGTTCCTTTGTGGCAAAAAATTAATGTTAATCTCCAATTAGAGAGAGCATGTGTGGAAAACATGAAAAGTATTGAATGTATTAGAGAAATCAATGGCTAAATTAGGAGAAAAAAGAAAGATGTTGACAATGTCAAAGGGAGTGTCGGTTGGTTTAGGATGAAAAGAAAGGAAGTGATTGCATGGGGCAGTTCTTTTCTAGAAGAAAAAGGGGAAATTACCGTTACAGCAACGCACAAAAATTTGATCAAACAAAAGAAGAAATACTGATATTTGTTCCAATCATGGGTGCTGCTATCAAGACACATCAATGAATTTATATGTTAAAAAGATTGGTCTCATATGTGAAATACTCCAACAACAGGAGGGATTATTACGTGCGGAGGCCGGACACAGAGAACCGTTCGGTTTTGTCTCCGTAAACAATGAAAACACTGGTGAACAACACCGATCACGAAAACAACCCCGACGGTTCTATATGTCCAATCTCCGCACGTAATAATTTCTCTGCAGAAGACATCACAGCAGTTGCTTGAAGAGTAAAAAAAGCAGCTAGATTTACTTTTTCTACAACAACAAAAATATCATCAAGCCTTTGTCCCACTATGTATCCGCTACATGAATCCTTTTAGATTTACTTTTTCTCAAGAAGAAAAATCAAACTCTATCAGAATCAATTTGTTCATCTCGAAAAGAACTGCATGAAAACACCAGGACAATTTTGCTGATGTGAACAATATGAAAGAATCAGATTTATTATTTATTTGTTTTGAGAATAAGACAAATAAGCAGCTTTCTTTCCAAAATGTCTGAGGTTAAAACTCTCAAGACACCGATCCACTCTTGCACAGAGAAGGTAAACAAACAAACAGATTTACAGAGAACTCCATTCTGAGGTCAGCATCAAGAAAAGCATTGCCACAATAGTAGTTTCCAAATGCAAATGATACCAAAAAACTGAGGTAACCCCCAGTAATGAAAGCTCCAAAAAGAAAAATGCCACAAGACCATGCAGATTGCTAGTTAAGAGGCAATATTACTTGGGAAGAGAGGATGCCTTTAGATGATTTCTTCACCTATGAATTTCCTTCACAACAGTCACTTCACCGCTTAGAGATTGTGAAAGAAGATGCTTATCTGTGTCTGTATCATCACTGTCCATTGGTTCATGCGAGCCGATGAAGGCAACAGATTCTGAACTATCTTCTAGATAAGGAAGTAAGATATTAAGAAGAAATTGTATGGATTTTTGTTGGAGTTAAGAAGAAGAAATGAATTCATAATTCTTGATATTTTGCAAATAGTCAATATTGTAATATGTAAAATGATATAACAACAACAACTCCAAGCCTTTATCCCACACTGTGGGGTTGGCAAGATGAATCAACATAATAAAAACAAATGGATAACAGAAAAGTGAAAGTGGATGGCTAACTAACCTGATAAAACATGGTAGTCGGGTAGCTCTTTCACTGATGGCAAACGGAGGCTTTCGGGTAGAAGACAATTGCAAGTAGCACCTGTAGTCCAGATTGAATTTTCAGAAACTTTACAAGTTCAAATAGAATTCATATTTTTGTTATGTGTGATTATAAATTTTACTAGTGCATTTTTTTTTTCAGCAATCCAAATATTCATTTTCCCAACAGCAAACTTTTTAAAAGTTCGTGGAGTTACTTAGCAATGACTAGTTATTCCAATATACTGTTAATCAGTTCATCTTACCAACATGTTCATGTGAATAAAAAAACAGATGTGAGCTATTCATCTTCGAATAAACGAGCATTTTCATTTATCAATAAAAAGGGTGTCAAAATTGGAAGCAGACAAACAGCTGCCTTCCCTTAGTAATGATAACTGCAAGAAATATGCTGAAAATTGTCCAGCAAACCTCAGCAATTTAGGCTTCGTTTGGAACAGTTTTTTTTTCTGCTTCTTAAAATAGCTTCCTAATACAAAACTTTTAACTTTAATTAGCATTAGATTTATTTAGTATGCTATCAGCATTGTTAGTTATTGTTATTAGTTTTTTTTTATTACCATTTATCATTGCTAAAAAAAAGAGAGATTTCTTCAAAAAAAAAACAAGAAGGGAGACCAAAAAAAAAGAAAGAGAAAAAAAAAAGAAAAAAAAAAAAGAAATGGTTCTTTTCTCGATGCTTGCGACGGGCCGGCAAACCCCCGAGGCGCTCACGTAGCGTTTAGGGTGGGAAACCGGTGCGATGCTTGCGACGAGATAAGGATCCCTCTTCAATGCTAGCAACGAGCCGGCAAACCCCCGAGGCGCTCAAGTAGCGTTGTAGGGCGGGAAACCGGTGCGGCGCTTGCGGCGAAGGGGATAAAAAAATATGTTTTTATTTTACTTTTTTTTTATATAAGTACCCCCGAACGCCCACGTGGTGCAGAGGGGGGAAATCTGTGTTTTTCTAACATGTATTTTCTTCTTATAATAAACAAACAAAACCACCCTTAAACGCTCACGTAGCGGGCGGGGATAAAAAAATACAAATGCGACCGCGGTGTCATTTTGACACCTACCTGAAGCGCTCACGTAGCGTCGAGGGGAAGGTTGCCTCTTGGTTTTTCCCCTAAACGGGGGAGACGCCGGGAGGCTGCCGAAATTTCCACTGAAACTGAAGACTTGGACAAATTTTGGAGAGCTTGAACTTGCAATCTTTTGGACAACATGGAACTCATTTTGACACTCAAATGAACTTGCAAGTGGACTTGATTGAACTCAAATGAACTTGGTGCAAAGGACAAGAACTTGGACTTATGTTGAAACACTAAGCAAATGATATTTGAATCTAATTGAAATGAATTCAAAATGAATGATTCAATAATGAACATTGGAATCAAATAAGTTTGAGCATAAGAGAATGACAATGAACCAAATTTAAGAGAAATTACATAAAACTTTGAAATCAAATGGACTATAACAGTGGATGATGTGAGCAACAACCAATTCTCTAAGGAGTTCTCATTTCAACTTGAATGTAAATTCTAATTTGAATAATTCAAATCTCATGCAAACAAACAAAACGAGCTCTCAATGCAAACCAGAAATAAAAATGGGAGCTTGAACTCAAATGAACATTTACAGGGGACATGGACTTGCATTTGAATATCAAACAAGATGAATAAGGATTTGGACATTTGAATTCAAGCAAGGGCTTGGAGACTTGGTGCAAAGAATTTGAACCAAATAAGATTACAAAGAACTTTGACATCACATCCGAACTCAAATGCGACATGAACTACAAAAGTCTTAACTTGAACTTGAGCATTTGAACTCTAGTGAGCATGATTTGAACAATAGTGGACTTGGACAAATGGAAGAAGCTCATCTTGAGCTTGAACTACATTTCTACTCAAACTCATACTAGAGCCTGAACTCAAGATTGAACCTATTTGAACTTGAAACTGGATTGACCTTTTAGATGCATACTAAGCTGAAAAATACAATATGCTAAGTTATAATCCAATCCATTTGAATGAAAGTTTAATAAAGGTTGTGAGCAACATCAAGTCATGAATAAAAATGATGAATATCAACGGAAAAATGAAAGAATTGTGGTGGACAATATTGCAAAAGAATCATTCACATGCAAACATGGGACACTTAATAAGAGGTCTTCATACGAATTCAATTGTCATTTGATTGCAAACAATCCTCAACGAGAAAACTTTTGGAGGACATTCAAATGAACAATTAAGATATAGAGGTTCAATAATCAAATATTGATCATTTAAGCGGGTACAGATGACCAGATAAAGATGTATAGTGGACAAGTCCCTACTACATCTCATTCACAAGTAACAAGTAAGAGGAAGGCCTATGCATAATCAATGATGTTCAACTCCAAGAAGGTTTATTAATTCTACTACAAACAACAACATTTCATGTAGTGGTTTTATAAGTACATGTGGAAGTCCCTACGAGTCGCCGCAAAAGACTCCTTATTTATACAACAGTTCCCCTTGGATAAAAGAACTCAATGTGTAACAAATATAGTGGATTTTAATGCTTGTGGCACCTCAAATGATGGCAGAAACTTCTACATTTGCAATGTATATAATATCCCTACAAGCAATACTAGAAGAATTGACATACAATGAACATACGAGCTACATGATGACAGTGACACTCTCTGCAAGCATACATAAGAAAGATGAAATAGAGATGCACTTAATAACATTGTGAAATGTGCAAAGATGTCTCATACACTTGGTGATATAGTAGGAATGCTCCAGGCATTCGGTATCAACATAAATTGAACTAATAATGAAGAAGTATTCAAGAATTTGGAATGAATACTGCCTTCATGCAATCAAATGTAGGTGAATACATCATTCTCCAATCAGTAAGCATGTACGACATGCAGCAGATAGAAATACCCACGGGCCTTTATAGGGGACTTGCTATGTACATGAAATGCCATCTATGAAAGGAATACAAGAAGAATACAAAATGAATGAAAATTCCTATGGATCGCTGTGGAAGACTTATTATATACGCCATATGTCACCTACAAGCAAAATACCAATTGACTACAACAAGTGCAAGTTCCTACGATCCAAGGCAGGAGATTCGTTAGTGCACTACGATCCACCTGCAGAAAGCAACGAGTAGTGCACGACAGTCTACCTGTACAAAGCAGCGAACAACTCCATTCAGAAGCTGCTACGCCACGCCACCGGATCTGCAACATCCGTACAAGCAGACAGAAGGCGTCTATAAATATTCCAAAAATGTCATCATTCGGGTATCGGCCCGATCGCTTGAGCCATCATTCTTTCAATGTCATCTTCTCATTTATTCTTGATGATGAATGTGACTCATTATTACTTTGGCTCTCACTTTATTTTTTTTTTGGTACCGTCTTTGTTGAATAGGTGTCTTTCTGGCATTGTTGTTCTTGCGAGGTCTCTTTGGGTTTGTGAGCTAAGTCCTCATGGGTAGTTGGTAGGTTTTCAGGTTGGCCAGGGATTTCCTGATTTCTTTGTTATTTATTTGGTTTATTTTCTCGGTTTGTTAGTCTCTCTTCATGGTTGGGCTTTCTTTTCTGTACGAGAGTGGATGAAGGCTGGCTGTCGGTTTTCTACGTTTGGCTTTTTCTGTCTGGAATGGTTTTGGTGTGTTGTTTTATTTTTTGGCTCGTGATAACTTCTACGTACTTGGCGTTTCTCGATTATATCTAATCATGTTATCTCTGTTTCCGTCTTGTATGAGGTCCCGGTTATGTATTGTGTTTTCATGTATTTTTAGGTTTGTATTGCGTTTGGCTGTTGGTTTCATTATCCTTCACCATCAGGGGTCTTCAGTTTTGTCGTAATTGCTGTGTTCTACGTTTCCATTGTGTGCTTATCATGTGTGGTCGTGTTAGGTGGTCGTCCATTTTTTCACTTCCATGCTTAGAGTCAATCTCTCGTTCCCAGATAAGATTAACGTTTATGAACTCAGGGCGGTCTGGTTTCGAGTTCGTTTATATCATTCTTCTTCCAACCATGTATCTTCAATAATTTCTATCTATATGTATTTTTCCTTTGGTATTCTCTCTTAGTCAATTCTGTGTATTTCATACTTGTTTGTTTTTGGAGTTTTTCTTTGCTATCGTGTCTAATAATTGTGCTCGTTTTCTTCCGTGGTCCCTTTCGGTTTCTGTATTTTCATGTCGTCGTTCATATGCTAGTTGTTTATTCACTCCGTTGGTGTTTTTGTGTTCGTTGGTCTTATCGCGTAGGTTTCTGGTTGTCGGTTTTGTGGTTTGGATCTCGAAGGTGCTTTTTTGTGATGTGTTTGCGGGACATTATGAGTGCCTGGCTTTGTTATTATAAATTCGTGGACTTGTTAAAATCTCCGGTTCTTGCCAATTGTTTTCTAACTGGTAATGTGCGGGCACAATTGAATGATCCTTATTGATTGATGCATCACATCCTTCCATAAATTTTTAATACGCTTTTCTCAGAAGGATTGTAGATTCCAATCTCCTACGCCTAGAAGGAGAGGGTGGTGGGAGCAACTTGCCAGTCTGGATTGGGTGGTGCGGAAGCCAAATTCTGTTGAATGTACGGGGAGCTGGTGCAATGACCAAATATAGTAGGAGGAGTTGGTGAGGACGAAGTTTGGATGTTGAGTTTGTGTAGGGTTGGTGTATGGAGCTCGATAAGTTAGTTGGTGATTGGGCCTAGGAATAGTCAGTAGGTTGACCTGGCCGCTGAATTCTCCTTTACTATTGTGTTGTTCTTGTTTACGATGTGATTTTTCTTCTAACACCAGTTGTTGGAATGGGGTGAGATATCACTTTCCTCTTTCTATCATTCCTCTAGGCTTGTACTCTTCTTTTCTATCCGGTATGGTTAAGGCCTGCTCACATTCTATCCGTCCCATCGGAACGACGATATACCTCACGCACAATGCCTTATGAGTGTTACTGTACGAGGATGTTCTTCTACTGAGATAGCCAGAGGGAAGAAGTTCTCAGGCAGACTTTCATTTTTGGTGACTTGAAATGAGAAG